GTCATATGATCCTGAGGCGATGAGCCTTGAATCGGGTGAGAACGCGACCGAGTTGACCGAGTCGTTATGCCCCTCGAGCGTCTGCGCGCATGGACCCCACTCATCTTCTACAGCCGGTGCGGTGGTAATCCACTCCAGTTCCTCATGTTTAAACAACTGGCTTGTTATGCTGCGGACAGGGCTGAACACAAGTGCTGAAGCGTATACCTGAAGAGGTACTGTATCAATAATCGATAGACTGCTCAGAACGAATCGTCTTATATCGCGGAGAAATACAGATACTTCGGTAGCATCTCCAGGCTGAAAGGCGATATTAGTATATATCGGAGATGGGGACTAAGGGTGCAACATACATCGAGTAGGGCTAACAAGTCGTCTACCATGCCGATACTCTCCGAGATACGGCCTACAAGCGCGAGCGCTTCAAGCCAGTAAAGGAGATGGCTCTTCAATAAACTGTGGACCGGGCCGTCATCCCGTACAATGCCTTTGCTCTCCTTCCAGTGGTGGACCCAGTACTGACATGCGTACTGGACTTCGGGTGGCAGAGCGGCGTCGACGGTTCGTTGGTCGATTTCCGAGCGCGGTTTCCCTGGCACTTGCAGACCGCAGATGTCTCTCTTGAGGTGTTGGCGCATAAGTTGAATACATCTATCCACAAGCGTTCGATGATGCTGTATCTCGTCGATCCAAAACTCCTCAGCACGCTTGGTTGGATCGACAAGGAAGTCGCGGAAAGACAGGTGAAAGAGTCTGACAGGAGCATCTATTTCCGGGGGAATTCTCAGGACCGAGTGGAGAGAGTTGAGCCTGCCATATATAGCTTGAGGAGAGATGATGAGAAGTCGTGCCAGCGACAACACTGAGAGGGGTTGGGCGAGGAGAACAATAGGGCCAACAACATCCCGAAACTCGGCTAATAAGCGGCCCCTCTGCGGCCCAGCGCGCCCGACAGTGAGCTGGTTGAGAATTGGGAGATATGTCGCGTCGAGTTTGTCAAGCTCGGAATCATGGGTCTTCCGCTGATACTGTAAGACTTTCTCAAGCTGACCGGCGGGGTCAGACCACACCGGATCTTCGACAAAGCGGCAGACGGTTGCGGCAAAAATGAACAATGGAACGGCCATCTGAGCGAGTGTCCGGATGACGTGTTCGCCAGGCCAGTCGGGCGGCAGCCTTAGGTCTCCGGGAGCTTGGCTGTTGTAATCGTTCCTAATTCTCGCGAGTGTGTATCCTAAGAATTTAGATATATCACGTTCCACGATTGGCTTCGGTATTTGGTGTAGAGCCAGGTCCTGATACTTTCCCTGGACGTTCTTGAATCCGAGGCGAATGGGCAGCTCAGGCCGGCTGGTGATGAAAATCCTCAGTCGCACGGAGCTCAGTGTCTTTGCTTGTACTAGCAGGGAGATGATGGTCTTTACGTCATTGTCTCCGTCACACTCGTCGAGAGCGTCAACAACGATTAGAATTACGATCGTATGGCGAATGTGGTCGAGAGGCTGAAGGATGAGCTTCTTGAACTGGTCTCTCAGCGCCTTCGTAACAATGGCCGGGTCGGCATCGATGGCCTCTCTGACTAAAGGCGCCAGAGCAGGGATTTTGTGCACAAGCTGACTGACAATGGTGGGGAAAAACAAGGTGGCTTTGCCACGGTCTCCTTCACCTCTTTTGAAGAAGAAGCTTGCGCCGAGGAGGCCGTCGTCTGCGAACGTCTTCGCTACGGTGCGGGAGATGGTGGATTTCCCGGTCCCTGCCATGCCGTTCAGCCAGAAGATGCTCTCACCGCGAGGATCTTCTGCCCAGTCTCTGATCTGACGGAGGAGCTCGATTCGGGTGTCAGGATGGCATTGTGCGTTGCTCTGCTCGGCAAAAGAGTCGAAAGCTGCCTCATGTACGGCCGGCAGGATGTCGCTCGAACCGTAGTAATTATTGCCCACGTGGACCCGTGCCTGCCCTTCGGCATGTAGTGACCCGACACGATTTGCCATGGTGGCGGCGACGAAGCGGTTGGATTGCATGGAACAACGATTGCTATACTTCCCAGAGCGCTTTCGCCGTAGGATCGTCTAACACACTTATGCGTTGTGATTGAGAGTCAAAAGTTGCGTCGGCGTAGAAGACAAGAGGAAGTCGCTCGTCAGACTCATGATAAATATTGCTGACATGAACGTGTTCTCACCTCGGTATGTAGTGACCTGAGCTGATATGCGGTGACAGCGGATGGTTTGAAGCGATGGTCGCGCTATCTTCAAGTTGGTCGTGCGTATGCTCTCAAATTGGGCATCGAACAAGCCGACTGCAGGTACCCCGCCGCCAACTCAACCAGGCAACATTCAGCCGCAGAGGTGCATCGGCTTTCATCTTCCCCTCTTCCCCCCTCGACAGCCACAACAAGTCAACATGCCATG